AGTAACTTTTAACTATGCTGTCAAATAAGCAGTTTTAGTGCATATCCTAAAGTTATATGTTAATAAAATAAACTTTAATATCTCATTCTTTTCAGTAATACACAAAATGTTTTTTGTTTATTAGCAAAATCTTTATTCCATAGAATTGGCTATTTCAAGACATGAACAGAGCAGTAATATCTACTCATAGCATTTTACTGTTTTATTAATATAGTTAGTTAAATTCACCATTACTACACTTATGTGAGTGTTGTAACCTGGAGACTGTGACCTCTTTAATAGTTATTTGTATTACTCTGCAAATGAATTTACTCATTTTTCTTTTTCTCCTTTTTCTCTTTAACATGCTGCAGTAGCTAACATATTATGGAGAGAAGAAGGTACTGAATTCCATTATTTTTTATATTGTTCTGATTATTCTGTTTAATCTTTATATTTGTCAACTCTCAGTTCTGATCATTGCCTTATTCACCTTATTTTAACTCGGCATTTTATTTAATCATAAATCAATTTTCTTCTGTAAACCTGCTACCATTAAAGATATGTATCACTCCTCATCATCTTGATTTGTTATTGATATGTAATCAGGAAGAAACATTGCAATATATTGAAATGCTTTTAAGACTATAAAATTCAAATAAGTCAAAGAAATGAAAGCAAACTTAACCATAATTTACGTACTAACCTCTGATTTAGATCAGAAAAAGAAAAATTATAAAAGAACATTGCCACTTGAAGAGAATATAGTAAATTAATTAAGTTTATAAGCTTGAAGAACCTGGATTCAAATCCGGTCTGCACCACTGTGTAACCTAGGGCCTCTTTATGTGACAGTTTCCTTATCTCAAAAATAAGGATACTTGTTAATACTCAAAAGGGTTTTTAAAAAAACTCCATACATAAAGTCTACGCTCAGGAAATGGTACCCACGGTCATTTATTATTGCTCTTGCTTTTCTTAGCCAGTCATGAAGGCCAGGAAGAATGTGTTTGACCAGGTATTCAAGTACCCCTAGTGCTTTAGTGCAATTCTTAGGAGAAAGTTGTGTATAAGTCAGCATTACACTCCTGGGAAGCAATGACCAAAATAATCACCTTCGCGATCAATCCTACAAAGACTCCCTCTTCCCCAGTTGTTGTTTCCTATATGAAGAGGAGTCACTGCTATCTGTGATGGCCATGCCTCATGAGCTTCAAAAACCTCGGGAATCCAGCCACTTCCGTCGTGTTCTCAGTGATGAGCATGACACTATTTTTTTTTTTTTGTCCTTGGTATTTGTAGCTCCTCAAATCTTTTGTCAAGTTTCCTTTAAACTCCAGTTTACTCAAGAGCTTCTAGTGGAACTGTTCCTTCTCATTTTATTCCACTTGGATAGTTCACACCTGAATGTACAAATTCGGTCATTATTGGAACTGATGTGATGTGATTAACACATCCATTAGATAACGTTTCTTGATACTCTCATCTTGAGATCAAGCAAATATTTCTCTGGGCACTTAAAAAATTGATTTCATTTTATCATTATAAATAGAAGGAATGAAACCTATGTAGTCAGAGATCAGGTCCCACAGATCTGGCTTTGCTGGTTAATTGCTGGGAGAAGTTGAATGAGTCCGTTTACCTCTCTAAGCCAGACTTTTCTACAACAATGCTTGAAATAGCTGGGGACTCTCTTTGCAAATTTGTGGTATGTAAATCTCCTTAAAATGTGGGAAACAACTCTTCCTTCTAATTTGCCATTGATAACAGCTATTAACATCATTAGATTATAAGAATTATTAATATGTAATAATTCTACAATATTCTTCTAGCTCCCCTTGAAAGTATAGGAGACCTCTGGATTAATTAACGTCACACTGAGATTGTTATATGAAATCATTTTTATCTATTTAAATTTGTCTTCTGTTAGACTTTGAAAATATATGATCTCAGTAACTGTTCTTCAATCAGTGATGTGCTTTCTCTTCACTTGTTGGACACAAAATATGCTTGAGAAATCATAGCTATTTAGTAGCTTTTGCAGATAATTTTAAAACAGACAAGAACTGATTGGGGGTAAAATTTTTTTAAACTTTCATGTCTTGTCCACTTATCAGAGCACTTTGTTGTTTTTTGAAATAAACAAGATTTAAAATAATCTATTCGAGAAAATGATATACTTGACTCAGATTCATCAGAATCTGCAAATTACTTTTTATGATGTCACCGTAATTGGCAAGGCACTGCAGTTAGCAATAATTGCATGTAGAAATGGTAGTAGTGGGCCAGAGGGAATGGACCAGATCTGAGGGATCACTGAACCCCAAATGTGTATGCTTATTTCACAGAAAATTATTGAAATAATTGCTGAATCTTCCAAAGCAAATTCTACCTCTATTTTTAAAAGATAATAGAATAATAACAGATAGGAACTACATATTTCTGAGATGCATTTTTATTTCCACTTTGGCAGTGATTTCTGTTTGTCTACTTTCCTTTTTGACCATGGCCAGGAGAAATTTATCCTGAGAGAATCAACTGAAGAATTTCAAGCATTTAAAGATTAATAGTAATGGAAAGAGAGTTGAAAATGATAATGCCTCTCATAATGTCATTTGACTTAACATTTACTTAGATGTATAGAATTTTGTTGAACTGAAAAAAATTTTAAACATATACATTGGAATCTAGCTTAGCCAGGACTTTGTAATCTAAATCAATTTTACTGAAAATATTATGTGTTACCTTACTGATCACATGGATATTTGAGCTTGACACACAACGTCCTCTATTTCTCTGGGTTCACCTTTCAGTTCTTTTCCAGCCGTTACTGAAGTGTGCAGGAGTGCAGAAAGACAATGTTTTTAAAGAGAGGAAGCACCTCACTCATTTATTGACAAGTATTTCAAAATGCCTGTCAAATGTAGAGCATTTTCAAAGCACTGGAGATATAAACAAAAGATCAAGTATTTGCTCTGAAAAAGTTTTCCATCTAGTAAGTTAAAGGCTAAAGCTTTCTTACTGATAACGAATTTTACTACATGTATGATTTCAAGATACATATTAAAAGATTCAGTATGACTGGGTCTCTTCTACAATATTTTTATGACCTTGTAGTCGACTATAACCTAATGCAATATTTTCTAATATTTAGTAGACAACAATTTGGGTCTATGTTATACATTCTAACAATAACAAGTGTTTTGGTTGCATAAGCACTGAATTAAAGAAATTTAAACCATTTTACTCACTGCAGGATTAAGCTGAACTTTTCAATATACTAATTTCAAACTCCAAGAAGAGATGTAGGGTGGTTCTTTATCAACATAGCATTTTCTAATTTTATTATGACACACAAATACTTTGATCATGTCTATATACTCAATACTGAACTGAAGCTAGTTTGAGAAATATTGGTTTGATATGACATCTAATGATTTGATAGCAAAAAAAATTCTTCAACTTTATAAAAATTGACTGTCTTTTCTATTCTGTGTAAATATTTATAAATCTATTCACACACGTATGTTAGAGAAATGGTTAAAATAAATTAATGTATTAGTTGGACTAATTAACACCAAACAACATAAGATACAAACAGACATGGCAGTGAAAACTTGCAACAGAGTTTACGTGTTACATCGCTATCTGATTAGCTTTGTCATCTATTGCCACCAAAGTGGGGAAAACAGGATATAGAAAGCAGATCAACTGTTAACTCCTTCAGCCTGACATTTTTCACGTTTTGTTGGCCTGCAGGGAGGGGAGGATGGGAAATAAAGAAGAATGACTTACATAAGCCTTTTGTATAGTTATTTTTAGGAAAAAAAAAGTGCTAAGATTCTTGGGACCAGATTACTGTATCACAGCAATATTGGAGGATTATTTATAATGAAAAAAGGGAGTTTTCAGAGAGTAAGCCATCTAAATTCATGAGACTTAGAGAGTCATTGTACTGGGTGAGGCAGAGACCAGGCCTTCTAATGGATAAACATGATGCTGAGGATATTGTGACCAAGCTGTCAGTTTTTTCATTCGCAGGTTTGCTACCTTCTCTGCTAAAAACGAATGCCAGTTTCAAATTTTCATGCTTTATTACATAAAAAATGTTTTCTAATCAAAGAAGGACTCTGATAAGAGATATCCATTTGCAGATACATGTGTCTACACACATACACATATGCACATATACATAATTATACATATGAGTCACCTCATTTTTTAAAATTTTATTTATTTTGGGGGGAGATAATTAGGTTTATTTATTTTATTTATTTACTTTTTTTGTTGTTTTAGGGGGGATGTAATTAGGTTTATTTATTGTTATTTTTTTTTAATGGTGGTACTGGGGATTGAACCCAGGACCTCGTGCGTGCTAAGCACGCACTCTTCCACTGAGCTATACCCTCCCCTCACCTAATATTAATTACATAGCAAACAAATACTCTATTATTTATAAACTTTGCTACCTTGATATTACTTGTGAAATTAATCATGCAGTTTTTTAAAACATAACTTTGGAAGTTCGGAAAAATTGTATTCCAACTCAAAAGGACTTTTTTAAAGTTTTATTTTCTACTAAAGTGTAGTTGATTTACAATGTTGGTTTTAGATGTATGGCAAAGTGATTCAGTTATACACATACATACATATATACATATATTTTCATATTCTTTTCCATTATGACCTATTATAAGAAACTGAATATAGTTCCCTATGCTAGATAGTAGGCCCTTGTTGTTTACCTATTTTATATACAGTAGTGTGTATATGTTAATTCCAGACTCCTAATTTACCCCTCCCCCACCCTTTCCCCTTTGGTAACCAGTTTGCTATCTGTGTCTAAAGGATTGGTTTTAGATGACATCACTCTGACCAATCTGTGTGGTGCTCAGATAATACCTACCTCCTAAATTAATAGTTCCTAATAAAGAACTTGGCATAATTTCTCCCAAAAGAACTGCTAGCAGGAATGAAAGAATAGGTCAGTCTTGTTTTAGTTGAACATAATGAAAGGGCTTACTGAGGGGTGACGGTGTGCTCTTGCTGTGTGTGTGAAAACGTTTCAGCTCCAAGGAAGAAAAGTGGAAACTTCATCCCAAATCTCTCCCTGCTGAGTTCTTCAAAGTGAGAAATGCTATGTAGACCATCTATTTTTGCCTATATTTTTCTTTAGCTAAAAAAAGAGTTCTTCTATATTAAAAAAAAAAAAGTAAGTTTAGGATCACTTGAAAGGGAAAAGACTAATATTATATCAAACAATGAAGGACTTTATTTAACACCAAACTTATTAAGTTATCTTTCATTAGTTACCAAATCACTGCATAGTAGGATTATTATAATTTGCTACTGATTATAATTTAAATGCTAAAGTCACGGTAATTTAAAGTCAGAGGAGGAC